GAGAGAGAGAGAGAGAGAGAGAGAGAGAGAGAGAGAGAGAGAGAGAGAGAGAGAGAGAGAGAGAGAGAGATGCAAGCAACAAATTTACAGATGCATTGCAGAAACGATTTATCTCCAGATAATGCTCTTCGGAATGGATATGGAGCGTCCATAAGAACAATACAGGCGACAAGAGAACTCTGAGTTATCTCCAAATAGCTGCATCGTGATGGACAGATAGCGCCACAGACAGAGAGGAAGGGGTATTTACTACCCTCTTCACCTGAATAGAGCGCCCGGTCATAATAGCCATGTTATTATTTGGTGCAATTTCCAGTCCAGATACAGCTAGAATGACCAGGCGTTCTATTCGGGTGAAGACGGTGGAGCTTGCTCAAGACGACAGCACAGCATGACCTTTGAATCCTGAAGGCGCAAAAGGCAAGAGTATTGAGAGGTTGGGGATTGAGCCCTGGGTTGCTCACGAAGAGAGCGTGCGCGACCAACACTCTCACTCAGAAAGTGCCTTGACAGGTCGATACACTTGAGTAAAAAAAAAAAGAAAGAAAGAAAGAAAGAAAGAAAGAAATACTTACGATCAGTGCATTGTGTGACGGAATCCTGATGCTGAATGGCAGGGACGATAAGTATTCCAAGTCGTTGTCGTCAAGCGTCTCGACCCAGTCCCACTTTCCACTCTCAAGCTTGGGCACAGATACTGCAGCAAACAGATACAAATGAAAAACAGGAGCCATTTTTGGGAAAAAGAGTGAAACTTTGTGATCAGACTCGCAGCAAAAAAATCAGGGGTCGCTTTGCAAGTTTACACCTTGAAAAGCGCCTATTATTTTCTGAAGGGGGATAAAAAAGACGCTTGAAGTTCCGCTTTCATTTCGTTTAGAAAAAGACCCCCCCCCCCCCCTCCCTTCAAACATGCATCTTCTCAGGGACTTCTCGGACTGCAAAGTGCCTGTCCCTTACTGTCGATCTCCTTTCTTATTTAAATTTAATAAAAGGAGGGAACATTAGCTTTGTTGTATCCAACCGGTTTGAACGCTGGATCTGTTTCCCAACAAAATTGTAATACTGTGTACCATTCACCCAGAGAGAGAGAGAGAGAGAGAGAGAGAGAGAGAGAGAGAGAGAGAGCAATGAGGCCTGTGTTACAAGAGTTTAGAGAAGACACAGAGAGTGTGTGTGTGTGGAGCGAGAGAGAGAGAGAGCAGTGAGGCCTGTGTGATACAAGAGTTTAGAGAAGACAGAGAGGATGTGTGTGTGTGTGTGTGTGTGTGTGTGTGT